AACACCAGCAGCCAACAAATGGCACTCAGAGAGCCAGCCAGTGCGGGCTGGTGTTTCTGGACAAGAGACTGTGTCCGTGGGAAGCAGAGGAGGCCGAGTGTGGGTTATGAAGGGTAGAGAGGAGGAAAGCATATATTACAAATTGCCAGCCATCTGCAGCCCCCCAGGAAGAAGCAAAGATGGCACACGGAGCCAGGCACTCGAGTGAAAGGAGGGGGAGGTGGCGAGAGACAAGTGAGAAATCAAAAGAAGCAGAAAAAAAAAAAGCAACACTAGCAGCCAACAAATGGCACTCAGAGAGCCAGCTAATGCAGGCTGGTGTTTCTAGACAAGAGACTGTGTCCGCGGCAAGTGGAGGGGGCCAAGTATGGGTGAAGAATGGTAGAGAGTGGGAAAGCATATATCACAAATTGCCAGTGCTCTGCAGCCTCTCAGGAAGAAGATGGCGCACAGAGCAAGGCACTCGAGAGAAAGGAGGGGGAGATGGCCAGAGGCAAGGAAGAAATCAAAAGAAGTAGAAAAAAGCAACACCAACAGCCAGCAAATGGCACCCACAGAGCCGCCCGCTTGGAATCCAAGCAGCCGGCTATTCCTGGTCAACAGACCGTGGCCACGGGAAGCAGAGGAGGCCGAGCCGGGGTGAAGAGGGGTTGGGGGTGGGAAAGCACACACCGCAAATTACCGGTTGTTTTGTCTCCCGCTGGATGCTCCATGAGGCTGCTTTCTCGTACTCCCGTTTGCTGGTCTCCGATAGGAGTCCAAGATGGTGGATCCGCACTGCGTTAGCTGGTAGGGGATGTCTGCATGAATCTCTCCTCGCTCTCCGTTCTCTGTCAGTTTTCTCACTCCATTTGGTGCTTGGCTGAGTTCTTTATCTCTTCGTTTGATGTTGTAGGGTTTCAGGATTGTTGTATTCTCTGTTCGGCTTAGTTTTTAGGATCTTTGCTGTGGAGGGATGGCGTGGTGCTTCTGCCTAGAGCACCATTTTGCCGGAACTCCTTTACTTTGGTTTTTATCATTTAAAACTAAAAATGTTTTGACTAACATGAGGTGGAGGGAGAAGGGAAAGTGGCCACTGTCCTGGATGGAAAAACGAGACATGCAGGCTGGATTATTATCCAGATGATCTGAGGCCTGGGGTTGGAGACAGACTGCCAGTTAAAACATGCTAAAGGGTGTGTTTCCAACAAAATGATAGGTCATGGAGAGAAGACACTTAAAAACGAATGCTGGGGAAGGTTGAAAAAAGCCTAAATCTACTTAAAATAGAAAAAAAAAGAAAGGATGAAAAGAGAGGGAAGAGAGTCTGCACATTGAAGCTGTTGAATAGTGTTGAAAGCAAAAAGAAACTTTTACCCAAAAATGATGTCTACTGCAAATAGAAGGGAACAGGTCAGTGTAAGAGTATCAAGGCTAACGTTCTTTAAAGGGTGACCAGCCAGCCTCAGGGTCTGAGTGAATGTTAAAAACAAGAGTTAGGTCTAGTCCTGCCCAACAAGGAACAAAATGTTGAACTTTACCTGTGTGCCAGGCATTGTGTGATATGCTTCATTCACATCTGTGACCTTACTTTATGATACTTAAGACACCTGCACTGCCCATGTCAGCTGATCCTGAGACTCTAGCACAGTCTGAGCTGGCACTTCCAAGGTCAGAAGAGAGAAAACTGAACATGGGTCAATCAGATGACCCCCACCTGGCAGCCCTGTGACTGGGTATATCTTGAGCAAATCTGAAAGTCTCAGAGGGTGCAAGCTACCCAGGTGAAACAGGAATGACCATGACCACCTTTTTATGTTTGAAGTAAGTGCATTTTTAATAACCACTTTCTTGGTTACTCCTCCATCTATAACAATTCTGTTACTCATGGGTCTACAGAGGTAATTAAACCAAATATTTCACAGCACATTTCCAAACCAATAAATTGTCAGCACTAAAAAAAAAAACAAAAAACTGTTTACTACCAAGGTGTATTGACCATTAATTGAAAGGCCCTCATCTTTAAGCAGCAGGTAGTTAACTTTTCAGACAGGTACACGTAGAGCAGCCAGCAATAGAGCAGCAATATTGGAGAATACTTTCTTTGTTGAAAATGCCCACAGGTATGAGACGTGACAATGAAGTAAAGAGGCTGACTCCATAAAGCAAAAATGGCTACTGATCTCATTATTTTATAGCCATACCTATTGGTATGTTTATAAAATATTTCTTTCACAAGTTAAATAGTACCTTCTACAGATGGGCTTAATTTTGGTACGATCAACTGAATAAAAGTTCGATTAATGCAACATTTGTTGTAAAGATTCTAGAAACACACAAGTCAAAATTTCAAATTATGATTCCCACAGTAACTGTTAACTCCAGTGTACAACATACATAATGGAAAAAAAATGTTAACATATACCATAGTAGAAAATACTCAGTAAGCAGAAACAAGCTGAGTTAATGCTTGTTGTGGGAATCATCATTTTCAACTAGCTGAGGATATATAAAAATTGAAACCATAAATGCATACATTATTTTTTGTATTTAATTCTAATTTTTTGTGATCCAATTTAATCAGCTTTGCATCCAAACTACATCTCCCTTTCATAAACTGCAAATGAATATCTTTTGTAATTTTAAAATCATATCATTTGGTTTCTTTTTCTCAGGCAGGCTGCCTTTGCAGGATGGCAGCATTATACCCTGTCCCTCCCCCAAATGTCAGGACATGTCTGCTGGGATCCATTTATCTAGATTCCTTTTTTTCACTGAAGGACACAGTGGGGAAGGAGAAAATACCAAAGAGAGTAAGAATCACACTGAATAGCTTAGAAAGGTAAATAAGTACAACAGAAAGAGGGACACTGTCACTATTAATTTCCCCCACAGTATCTTCCTAAGCAGAAATAAGAACAATAATGCCACCGAGTAGTTAGAATTTCCAAAGTGTTTAGTCATAACATTATCTCATCTCTCAACAACACTGTGAAAAGGCAAAAACCCCTTTCTGTTGTTCAGCTCTTTATGTCTCAAGTGGAATTTATTAAAATGTGCTGTTATGTTACCGTTTAAAGGCTGGACCATTTAATTGCACTTAGAATATTTCCTAAATATACCCACTTAAACACCTGTAGAGGATTTACTTACTACTGAAGGCAGAATATAAATTATGTAAAAAGATTATGTTTACAAGCTAAACATTTAACTTATTTTAAGCTTTTTGCTTTAACTATATTCTGAAAATTTGATTATGAAACAGAGAGAGAAATAACTGCCATCTGAAACACTGCCTGGGCAAAATTAATCCTGTATAATACATCCAGTATTACTTTTCCAGTTTGGTTTTAACTAAGAAGGGCATCTTCTACAACCTCTGACGAGGAATCCTTTTACTTTCCAGCAGTCTTTACCAGCAAGATATGTTCCGTTATATTCAAAGTAAATTACTTTGGTTCAAGAACAGTCATCATTCCTTTACCACTCTTAAGCATCTCCGCCCCACCATGATGCTCACAATCTTGTGTGTTTGGAGGGCGAAATGTTAAACCTTTTTGTCTCTTAGCCGAACAATGATCAGGCTATTCAAATTTAAGTATTTTTTCCCCTCTTTTCTATGCACAAAGTCATTTTCTCCATATAATCAAATTTCTTTCTTCATTTGTATAGTACACCAATAAAATTATCAATTAAAAGAAAGATTCAGAGCTAGCAAAAGCCTCAATATCATTTGTATTAACTTCGGAGATAGCACAGTTAATCGTCTACCTGGGAAAGTATGACCATTTTGTATGTAATTAAAGGATAATCCATTAAGTGCTAGAAGAAAAACAAATCCTAAGAAATAATAATTTAGGAGGTTTTACTGTGGAAGAAGAGATGTCATTTCAATGTTACTAATTATAAAATTAGATTTTTGCAATGAATAAAGATTAACGCATAAACTCCTGGATAAAACATATAAAGGTATTCCCTGAGACATCAATACTGAACTTGCAGGTTTTTTACCCCCTCGTATGCAAAATTTTGAAAAGAAAGAACAGTATCTGGGATTGCTCACAAAGCGCAATCTCAATACTATTTCCAGCTATCAGAAAAATACAAAGATGGCTGGTAGGCTTAAAAAAAAAAGAAAAATCGGACATGGGGATATAAGCTCTTGCCTCTTGTCAAAGACCAGAAAGGAGGCTTACTGCCTTATGTAATTCATCAGTCAAACATGAAGGCAGGGCCATAAAGGTAACTTTTCCATGCAGGTCATCCAGGCTATAGGGTTGCTGTCAGGGAAAGTACAGATCCAGCCAGCTAGCAAGGTTTACTTTAAATAGAATGAAATAAAATCCTTTTTCGTTGTCTTTTTCAAGGTAGAAACTGAAGAGGTGACTAGTTCCAGAGAATCATGCTTAGAAATGAAAAATAATGAGGTTTTTTTCTGTTGAGCAGTCAATATTTCAAATTCCAAAAATGCCTTAAATTCTCCCAATAAACTGACAGCAAAAAAAGGTCCTGGAGATTGTCAGTACCATAGCTTAGAAACCAATTTTTTATATTTACTTATAACTAAATCTGCAGAATTCCATGAGTGACTGACAATAAAATAGTACACATTAAAGAACGAACCAATGGAAAATATTGGGAACAAGTGGTCTAACAGCAGAAGGGTGTTTAATGAATTACTGTACATTTGTACAATGGATACTATGGAGCTGTTAACAAGAGCTTGAAGAGTATGTGTTCTTAAAGAGTATCTAAGGTGAGGAAAAATGTTTCCATATTTTAAAATGAAAAGGGAAGTTACCAAATGGCATATTCTCTGTGGTCTCTATTTTGGAAAAAGAGAAAAAAATATGTGCATAGAGAAAGAATTGAGAGGACATACACGAAAATATTAACAGAAGTTACCTCTACTAGTGAGAATTTTATGTCTTCACATTTTTTTTTCTTTTCTAATGAAAGGGGGAAAAATAAGGGGAAATTATTATTTTTAAAAAGAATCAACCAATATATTCTAATCTCTTTGTTCCCTCCACACACAAACAAAAAACAGAAAACTGAAACATATTTAGTGTCATTAAGCAATCAAATTACAATCTGATTTTTTCTTTAAGTTACAAAATCAATACAGTTTGTCCAAATTTACAGTTTCCTTATACTTTTGCCAATACACACAAGGGCAATATATAAAAAAACATACAATGACACAGATTTCTATCAAAGGCTGCAGTCTTTTGTGCAGTCTTCTTCATAAATCACTGAGTCTAGAAAATGAACTTCATATGTTTGATCCCATATGTTTTGAAGAAAACCATGATAATGAGCGCCCACAATCCCAGAATAAAACCCCCAGGAGGATGCCAGTCTTTCAGCTTCGGTTTCTGCAAAACAAGAATGACATGTTAAATTTAACAACAGGTAAATAATTCAACATTGAATAAAACAAATACTGATCAAGTATAGAAATGTCACTGATGGAGCTTTAAGGGGAAGTAATTTAGCAAAATTAAATATATTGGTATAGCAACAATGGTAAAGACTTTAAACAGAGTAAATGATTGTCATTTCGGCAGCTACATTATGGCCCTGAGATTGGAGGTTTATGACTATGATCCCTTCTTAGTGAATTAGTGGCCACAACTGTAAGGATAGTTATAATGATTTGAGAATCATATTTTAGAAAAGAATAGAGTGAAGAGAAATTGTAATCTGACATGTGTGTTGATCACCAAGTAAACTAGGTCCAAAAAAGGTTCATAAATCTCTTAGAGGTATCACATCTTACTCTGGTTTTCTCTTACATAGCCAGGACACCTAGTGTTTTTCCTCCTAGGTGCTGTTTGCTTTAAGCATACATTTGTGATTTTGAGAATTAAATAATCAAAAAACAAATCGGTTCAAAGAGCATGGGATTTATAGTCAAAGGATTTGGATTCAAGCTTTCGCTTCAATACAGGCTTCACAGGCCTATGTTACCTGAACAAGTAGTTTCTCCACTCTGAATTTCTGTAAAATAGGCATAGTAACACACACCTTATAGTAATGAATGAATGAATGCACGATTACTGCAATGATGTGCTTTTTCAAAATTCAGTCTAAAACTACTCATTCCTACCCAGAAAAGTGATGGTGTAAAACTAGACAACTTTCATTTTGTGTATTATAAACAAAAACCCGTTGCCGTTGAGTCGATTCCAACTCATAGTGACCCTGTGAGGACAGAGTAGAACTGCCCCATAGGGTTTCCAAGGAGCACCTGGTGGATTCGAACTTTTGGTTAACAGCCTTAGCTCTTAACCACTATGCCACCAGGGTTTCCTTGTGTACTATATGTAGTATAAAATAAAGGAAAAGTCATTCGATTATACAGGGATAAGCAGCGCAATATAAAAAAGTAAAAATGATCTAAAATATAAATATATAAGGATTAAGTTACTCAAGTCATGAAAATTGAGAGCTTCCATACTTTTCAAGTATGCGCTAAATTTAAGCAATTTATGGGCAAGTATTCTATAAACTTGTAAATTTATTGTTGAATGCTCCGTAAAATTATAAAGCACTACGTATATAAATATAAAATATCCTTATATTTCATAAAAAATTAAATCAATAGGGCATACATAATAAGGTGCTAATACAAAATGTTTTATATACATATGCATTTATCAGTTCTGAGGGAACAATATTTGAAAAAATCTGATTTTTGTTAACCAAATTAATTTATACAACTTTCACCAATTCAAAATTCACTCGTACAACTAAAAGAAGAGAAGTCCACCTGAATAATTTGGATCGCAATGCTAGAGTATTAGGAGCTTTTAATAAAATGTTTAACATGAACTTAAATGATAATATTGTTTACAGTGGTTATATTTCACCATCACTCCCCGGCCTACTCTCATGTTCTACCACTCCTTCCAGGAAACCCCCAAACACAAAAAATATTAATCTAATTTTCCTCACATTACTTCTCACTAAAAAGTGTACAATGGCTTCTGATTATACGTGTGATGATGATGATGATGATGATGTAAAAGTCCTTGCCCTCTAATCTCTCTCACAATAACTTCAGCGGTTTTCAAACCATTTCAGATGGCAGAGCTTCTGGAAGTCACAGTGCTCTTTGTGTAAAACTGAAAAATCTTCATATCCAGTAGGCAATCTAGAATAATTAATATTAAGTATAGTTATATTAAAGGAGCCATCGTGGTGCAGTGGTTAAAGCGACTGACTGCTAACTGTAAAGGTTGACGGTTCAAAACCACCAGCAGCTCCTTGGGAGAAAGATGTGGCAGTCTGCTTCCATAGAGATTTACAGCCTTGGAAACCCTATGGGGTTGTTATGAGTCAGAGTGGACTCGATGACAGTGGGTTATATTAAAGACAGGTAATGTAAACTTCACAAGGATGGGTCAATGAAAAAAAAGAGCAAGTGAACTAAACATGACTGACTACTACCCAGTTTTTGTCCTGTTTATTTTCTACTATTCAAAAAACTGGTAATTCATGCCAAAGGGTTAAAAAAGCTTAAACTATTAAATTATTTTTCTATAAACTAGGAAAAGATTACCATTATTCCTAATTAATGAAAGAACACCTTTATACAACAGCCTACAGATATTCCCTGGGAACCCAGTTTAAAAACACTGATCTAGTTAGGGAGACAGGATTCTGATTTTCCCCAACAACTAGGAGTCTCTAATTTACATGATATTTGAAAACTTGCGCACATACATACACACGCTTAGATTGTTGTTAGTTGCCATCAAGTCGATTCTGCTCATAGTGATCCCATGTGTGCAGAGTAGAACTCTACTCCATAGGGTTTTCAAGGCTGTGACCTGTCGGAAGCAGATCACCAGGCCTGTCTCCCAAGCTGAATGGGTTCAAACTGTCAACCTTTTGGCGTACTAATGTAGAGAAGTTCAATAAATACTTTCAAAAGCTGGCATTAATTCAGGCTATAACATAGACAATTGTTATAAAAACTAATAAATTTCAGTGTTAAAGGGGTTCAACCGGTGTTTAAACCAAATCTTTTTAGTTTAAGTTCTATGATTCATCAGAGATTATTGAAACCATAATCAGGTAGTTAATACTGAATTTTATTTTTACAGCTGTAGAAACTCTATTTACTTTCCAAACATAGATGGATTCTCCAAGATTGTGATTTTGCCATTAGATCTTAAACTTAGCAGTCAGAAATAGTTGCCAGAGATAAGACAACTAAGGAAAAAATGTCTTCCTTGGAAGAAACTATCATTTCTCCAAAGACTGAATAATTGGTACTTGAAGCTATTTTTATTCCAAAGGCTGGCTTGGAGAATTCTGGAGGCATTGCTTCCTGGTCCTTTAACCTCCTTTATAAGGCATGTGTCCCACATCTAGACCACTGATGCCCAGGAGAGGACTAGAGAGAGAATTAAAAATGCTCTAGATAGAGCTGTGATACCCCAACAACAAACTTCAAAAGTAGTAATGAAGGGCTAAGAAACGTGCAGTAATTCCAAAATTATAATGGAATGGTAGAATTATTCATATTGAAAACTGCACAGGCTGACAAAAGCAGTAAATCTTAGCCTTTTAAAATTGCTATTTGCAGTTCCTTTGATTTTTTATTGTATGTTGATTACATATTTTTGATTAACAAAAAACAGAAAATGAATTATTAATGAATGTACTTGGGACTCAGTTTAACATGGCATCTGACTAGAATCCCCCAGTGCAGCCTCTTCCATCTTCTCACGAGAATGCATACAAAGGCACAGAAAAAGATGACCACACACTCTATCAAAATTAAGTTATGCACATATGAGAAACTTCAGATCTTTACACTACCTGGAAGTCCTGGAAACCAAGTCTAGAAACACATTAATGGTGGGCCTGGTTTTCTGATTGGTACACAGCCATGGATAATATGCTTTGCTCTATGAAACACAGTAATTCTGCCAGCTAAGAAAGGGACTTTAATCCTCTACCTTTTTCTGCCTGCTGTTTAAGAGATACAGTGTTTATTTGTAGAAGGATGGCTTTATGAGGTAGCCAGAGTAGTGTAACTCATCCTCACCTCCCCAACACTACACCTCTTTATACATGCCTTTAAATACAATTCCCAGTAAGCAACAAGTCAGGAGGTAGAGAGGCAGTGGTTCACTGCATCCTGAAGGTTCAATATCCACATGAAAAGCTCTGGAGAAAAGGGAAAATACAGGGGAAACCCTGTTCATAGTGTGTTAAGAAATACGATTCTTCCATACACTTTGACTTTTTAAAGTGCTGGAGAACCAGGAATACATGGTAGCAGATGATGCTAGTTTAGTTCAGCAGAGCCACATTTGATGACTGCCTTACAGACACTGGGAACTGTAATAACCAATTCTTCAGGCACAAATTTGATAAGACATTCAAACCTAAGTAGATAGCGAGAAGCACTGTCTTCTGTTCAAGTTAAAACGAAAAAACCAAGGTGAGGTCTATGAGTAAAAACACTTCCACACATGATAAAGAAATATCCTAAAATGCAAGGAACATATCTCTGAATAAAATTTAATAAGGAACCAAAAATTTTAGAAAAGTTTTATTTGGCATGAACTCTAATAAAGATGCCCAAGAAACCAAAAATTTAAATAATAGCATAAAAAGAAGATAAGATACAGAGAAAACAGGCTGAGATAAAAAGAGAGCTGAGTGACATTAAGTTTGTAGTAGCAAAACTGAAGTCCACATTGATGAGGCCGATAGTGTCCTAAGCACCATCTCTGAGTCACTCATTCACCCAACTGTCGTAGATTGATGGCAAAAAAAAAAGTGGCTCCATTGTCCATTTTTCCCTGTGGCCATATTCTTTGCAAACTGGCTTTGCAGCAGCTCTTATCAAGAGGTGAACTCTATATCCCCACCCCTTCAATCAGCTGGCCTTGTGACTTCTTTTGCCAACAAAATGCAGCACAGATAACAGTGTCCCAGTTCCAAGCCTAGCCTCAAGAGGCTTTGCCTTCTTCTGCTCTTTCTCAGACCTCTCATCACCAGGAGAAAAAGTGGAGGCTAGCCTTTTAGTGGAAGAGAAACCATGTAGAGAAGAGCTGAGGTGCCCCAGCCAACAACCAGTCAACTCCCAGAACACAGCAGCTCAAGCTGACTACAGACTCATGAAGGAGCCCAGGTAGAACAGAATTGCCCAGCTAAGCCCTGCCCTAAACTGCCAACCTACAGAGGTATTAGCTAGTGGCTGATATTTTAAGCCACCGAGCTTTGGAGTGTTTTGCTATACATCAAAAGCTATGGAATATTCCACTGAGGTGATAGTTAATGTGCAAGGGAAAACCCTGATCCTTCAGCATAATAAGAAAATAGAAAAAGGTATTATCTATACCTGTGTAGC